TAAAAATTTAATAGTAAATTAAATATATTTATTAAATAATTAATAATATATTAAATATATTTACTAAATAAATATATTTACATAATATAATAAATATATTTATTTAATAAATATTAAATATATTTATCAAAGAATACAAATAATATTAAATATTTATGTAATATATATTTTTATATAATATATATTGAATATATGTCTAATAATATATTACATAAATATTAAATATTTCACGTAATATATATTACATAATATATATTTAAATACTTTATAATATATTAAAAATATATTAAATATTTAACATAATATATATTAAATAATTAATAATATATTTAATATATTAATATTTGTAATATATTTAGTAAATATTATTTACAATATATTTAATAATATAATAAATATATTTATTGAATAATATATTTTATAAATATTTACTAAATATATTTATTTAGTAAATATTTATTTCATATATTTATTTATATAATACATTTTTAATAAGTATTTAATATATATATAAATATAAATATATTACATAAAATGATGTTTGTATATGAATAAGTGAAGTCAAATATTTAACATAAATTGTGTTAGACCAAGTGGCTTATAAGCACATTTTATTTGCTAGTGGTACCAGGTTCAAACCCCCTCTTTGCAATAGTTTTGCAACATTTCCACGTAGGTGATGACTTGGCTCCTGTTAAGTCAAGGTTTTTGGTGACGTGGCCGTTAAAAAAATGCCCCGTCAGCTTTCCGTCTACCCCGTCAGCTTTCCGTTGACGGACGTTAAGTCCGTGTATTAGGTTGCCAAAAATCTAAAGGTTGTGTATTTACTTGCCAAGGTTTGAAAGTCATGATTAAATGGCCAATCAAGTAAAGGTCGTGTATTTTTTCGCTATTAAGCCTTTTTATTTTGGCAAATGACGTGGAGGTTCAGACACACATGGCACTAACTATTAAATTTTGAGTGCCAAGTCAATTTTCCGATCGGACACGTCAGCGTGCCCTGCCGGAATTCAATGTTGAGACAAAATTGCAATGTTTAATAAAGGTTTGTATTTTTTTTGCAAAATTGAAAAACTTGAGGTTTATTTGCAAATAAACAAAAGGTGGTGGTTTTTTTTGGCAATTAACCCTTTTTAAAATAGATAACTTGAAACTAATGCAAACATGACTGAGTCAACATCCTTGTGTGTTACTTTCTTTTCATACCGGTAGACGTACTAGTGTGATGCGCAATCTTTAATATAAATAAATAACTTTATTATTTAATACTAGTAAGGTACCCGTCTGATGCACGGTAGTATTTATTATTTATTTATTTTTTAGAAAGTATTTTTGTATTTAAATTGTCTCATGACATTAAAAATATCATGAAAATAAATTTATATATTATTAAACACTTCCTTATGTACAACAACACGTAAAGTACTACATAGGTGTTCGAATTTTATCTAAAATTGATTATTATTTGTTATTAGTTAACAAATTTTAAAAAAATTAAAGGATCTTATTTATTAAACAAAATTATAGTAGAAAAAAAAGTAAAATTTTTTAGGGATTTTCACTCATTATTTATTTTAAATCTAATTCTAAATTTAAATTAATAAAAATTGAAAACATCATTAGTTACTCATGAAAATGAAACAGATTTTTCTACCAATAAACTGATTTTTTTATTAAACTAATTGATCTGAATATTTTTTGTAAACCAAATAAAAAAATCATCAATTTTTCCTAAAAATGCAACCTAAATTTCCTAACATTGCACCAATTTTTTTACCAAACAAATTGAATTGAAAATAATTCTAATAAAAAATTGAAATAATTTGTTAATGTTTATGCAACTGTCTCTTTCCTAAAGAAAATGATATGAACTTAACCAAGAAAAAAAAATGATATGAACTTACCAAAATCTCGGTAAAACATGGTTAAGAAAAAACATAAGAATTTAAAAAAATCGATGCCTTTAAATTTTGAAAAGTTGCGCATAATTTTTCCTAAATAATTGGATAAAGTGACTATAAATATCAAAGATGAACCGCTTTCGTTACCAAAAAACGTTGACACAATTTTGAATGTACATCCCTTTTAAATATCAGTTTTATTTTAAAATAACAATTGCATGTGGTTTTATCCAATTTACACACTTTTTTTGAAAGAATAAAATATTCAATAAGATTGGAAGAATTTGTTAAGAATTATACAACTATTTGTTTCTTAAATTTGTATCCAATTTGCAAGGTTTTTAAATTAATTTGTATTTAGAATTGTTTTCATAAATAATTGACACATTTTTCGCATAAGAATCTCCAAATTTGTTACCAAAAAAGATATGATTTAAATTTTGGTAAAAATATAAAATATGATACAAAAAAAATTGAAATTCAAATTTTGCCAAAAGAATCTCCAAATTTGTTGCCAAAAAAATAGGATTCAGATTTTGTTACTATAGATTCACATCTGCTTTTTCGAACTTTCCATTAATAGTAAGTCAAGCATTATATTTATTTGGTCAAACTTTCTATTAATGTATTTTTCCAACAACCTCTTTATTTTTATATATATATATATATAGATTAATTAATTTATTTATTTGTTAATTCAATTTTGGTATTATATCAATGACCTAAGTTCGAGAAGCGAGAGACAAATCAATTGTTAATTTGGAGCTATAAAGATAAATCTATCAATTTAAAATATGAATGATTTAAAATTGTTCGTTGAAATTTTTAGAAGTTAAATGTTAAAACATATTTATATTTTTTATTTATATTGAATTATTTTTATTTTATAAGTTTTATATTTTTGTTAACTTATTTTATGAGGAGCAACGTCAACAAGAAGAGATTTAAAGATCTCAAAAATTCAAATAAATGGTGAAGTACGGACACTTCCAAAAGTCTGTCCGCTATTTATTAATGGTGCCCATGGAAAATGCTACATATACGTAATAAATGTACATAAAGGTGTACATAACACTCACATGGAGTGGGATCCACTTAATTTTTTATTTTTGGTCGGTCCCACTCAATGTGAGTGTTATGTACACCCCTATGTATAATATTATGTACCTATAGTATTTCTCGGTGTCCATACCTGCTAATCATTGCATTAAGGCGCGAAGCCCAAAAGATGTGTCCAAAATTGAAAAGATACCTCCATATCCTGACAAAAAACGGCGTTTAACTTAATGCACTAAGTGAAGAGACACCTTGCTCGTTATATCTCTTAACCGCTTATGCTTTGATCGACATTCCATCAAACGATTGTCCTTGTATGAATTGAGGATCACCAAATAGTTTCCCATGCGTATCGACGGTCCACTCCACCACTGAGAACCTGGGGGCCTCCTTGTTGCACATAAAAATCTTTACTAAACCCTAGACCAGCTATCAAGATTAAACCGAACGAGTACCAAGAAGAAATCAATATCCATATAAGAGGCGATCTCGCAAATATCACGGATAAGAACAGACAATCCCACAATGCGAAAGTGTCGACCCCTCTCCAAGGGTTTCTCTCGAAGCTTGACGATCTCAACCCTGTGTCAATGCAAAACTATTAAAGCGACCACCCAAACTTTTTTCGTCACATGCATGAATAAATGCGTCGCTACTCTACGCCTCTAGGTGGCACTAAATATTTATTACGCCCTTACCATTTTTATTGTATAAATTCAACCCCTTCGATCCTAGCCAGGATCATCAAAAATTATACATCGCATATCATAATGTATAAAGCTTTTATACACTCTTTTAATAAGGATTTAGAGAAAGCACTCTTCTTGTCAATCTCCCTAGTAAATCGGCAAAACCACTGTGTCCTATTTTCTTTTAAAGTATTCTCTATTTTATGTGGATCTTTTCATATTACCCTCCTTTTATTCATTACCTATAATTTTGCAATAAATTATAGTGTAACCCTCGATTAAACCGTCATAATAAACATAAAACGTAATCGTTGGTGACCGACCGTCAACAAATATTAATAAATCAAATTAGTTATTTTAATCCCTA